TTCAAAAGCGGCGACTAATCCCCTTTCCTCGTTTTTCATTCTGCGTGCTGTCTAATTGCAACTGGTGGAATTGTCCTTCCTTTGAGCTATGTGATACTGCTGAAGCCGTCTTGCCAATTCTTCCACTTTCTCAATGCTGGAAAAGGAGGCATTGCTGCTGCTGCTGCTGCTGCTGCTGCTGCTGCTACTGCTGCTGCTATAACTGCTAGGCTGATCAGAGGTGCTCTGATGGTACCCAGAAGTATAGAGAGAGCTCCAAAGATCCTTGTGGGGCCTATACTCAGAAGCCCTTGAAGACAGACAGATCTTGTCAGCGCTGGAGGAAAAACCAGGCGGGAAGGTTTTGCAAGCAGCTGTCGGCACAAAAGAAGATTATTATTAAGGGAGAAAGAATTGAGTGAGAACTGTGGAAAGTGATCTGCTGACTCAGCCAGAAACAACAGGACATATCATTAGCAATGCAGGTATTCTTCAACTTACAACTATTTTTATGGTGACAGTCAGTGGTGGGTTGCAAATCCCGTTCAAACTGGTACGGTTGAAATGGGGCTGGTGGCGACCTCATGGATGTGCGCAGTGCATGCATGCATCCTAGCGCCTCTGCGATGCTCCGTGATGCTCCAGCTACTCCGTGGAGCGTCGCGCAGGTGCTATACGCACCATGCGCCTGCGCAGAAGTGCAGAAGCCTTTAAACACCGGTAAGGAGCACGGGTGGGTGGGTGGGCCCTCCAGAGCACCATACTGGAATGGTATCTGGTGCTCTGGGTTGGCTCCGGTACGCTCATACTGGGGCGTACTGCCTGCAACCCACCACTGGTGACTGTTTAAAGTTACAACAGCACTGATAGAAGTGACTTATGACTGCTTTCTATACTTATGACCATTGAAGCATCCCCATGGTCACATGATGAAAATTCAGATGCTTGGCAACTGGCATTTATTTGTGATGGTTGCAGCATCCCAGGGTCATGTGATCATCATTTGCAACCTTCTGACGAGCAAACTCAATGGAAAAGTCACATTCATTCAACAACCATGTTACTACTGTATCTTTTGGACTATAAGACACACCGGTGTAAAAGACGCACCAAGATTTCGAAGAGGTAAGTAAGAAAAAAAAAGTTGTTGCGTTCCTTCAGCCCCCAGCAGCACTCTGCAGGCTTGAGCAGGGCTGGGGCAAGGCAAGTGAAAAATCTCCCATTTTTCGCAAAACCGAGGGCATTTTTGCCTTGCCCCAGCCCTGCTGAAGCCTGCAGAATGCTTCTGGGGAATGGGGGAAGGCAAAACCGCCCTCATTTTGGCAAAAAAATGCCCATTTTTTGCCCATTTTTCACAAAAATGGGATGCGGGGGTATGGTTTTGGGAGGCCAAAAATTGCTGTATTCAGTGTATAAGATGCACCAACATTTCCAAGCTCTTTTAAGGGGAGAAAGATGCGTCTTATACTCCAAAAATACGATAACTTAACAACTGCTGTGATTCACATAACAACTGTGGCAGGAAAGGTCGTAAAACTGGGCAAAACTCATTTAACTGTCTTGCTTTGCAACAGAAATGTTGGGCTCAGTTGTGACCATAAGGCGAGGACTACCTGTAATGCAAACTATTCTATAATGGAGAAAATAAAGGCATTAAATGAATAAATGTTACTGAAATAAATACAGTTTAGTGACTTTTCAAAGTTACAATAGCACTGAAAAATTATGACCATTTTTCACACTTAAGACCATTGCAGCATCCTCATGATCACGTGGTCAAAATTCAGACTCTTGGCAACTGACTCATATTTATGATGATTGCAGTGTCCCAGAGTCACATTTGCAACCTTCTGATAACCGATGTCAATGGGGAAGCCAAATTTACTTAACAACCATGTTACTAAATTGACAGCTACTTCACTTAGCAACAGCAATTTTGAGCTGAATTGTGATCGTAAGTTGAGGACTAGCTGTATGGAGTTCCTCCATCAGCAATAGCTTCTGAAATGGTAAAACAGTAAGCATGTTGTTAGGGGCCAAAGAATGCATGGGTGGAACTCTGCTGTCATGTGTGGCAATGTGATGGATGGATATATAGAAATGTAGAGGGGGAGGGGAGGCTTCATGGTTTTTGTTCACTTTTAAGCACTAACCAAAGTGCTTCAACCATGGATGGGAAGCCAAATAGGTCTCGGATGTTAGATTTCTAACATCCATAGCTAATGATGAGGACCACTGAGAAAATTGCTCCCCAACTTCGGACATAATTTCCCGATTCTTGAATCAATGGGCATCATTGTTTTTAATAATATTTTTGTTAATGTATTAAGGATAAAGGTGCTACTAGTGTGAAGATTAGACTACAAGAGAATCTATGACTTGATCATCAGAACTTGTACGCTTCTTGGCAATTAACCATTTGTTTTACTGAGCAATATCCTGGTTTGTTTCTAAATATATCCACATATTTGCATTGACTTCTTGGATGAGAAGTGAACTGAAGACGCTTCTTGGATGAGGAGCAAAACATTTTCAAGGGGAAAAAACAATCTAGTTGCCTTTTGAAAAGCGCCTTTCAGACTTTTCAAGATTATCAGGCCTGACTTCAAATGTTTTTAAACATACTTTTTGAAAGTAACTATCATATTTCTCTTGAGCCTTAATAAGATTCACTGATCACGATAAGATCAATTTGAGATCCTAAACCTATTTTTACAAAATGTACAACTATTTAAGAAACATGCCATGTAATGACTGATCCTCCCAACAGGCTGGGACAATTTTTTGAATTTCCATAAATTGCTCAGCCCCATTTTATTCTAATCTAGTGTACTGTGTGAACTTGTTCAATATGTAGTGTCTTTGAATTTGACTTAATACAGTGCGTAAATTCAGTTATTATAATGTTTAGCATAAATGTTGGCTTACTATTACTATTTATTCTACTAATGTTTTGCAGAAACCTTACTGAATCTTACAAACCACCCATCCCCCATTCCAAATAATCATACAACACACTGAATCACAAACTGACATTATTTTAGTTTTCTATGATGCACAAACACAATTCACATGTTCACATTGTGGTTCAGTGTGTCATGCAAATTCACAAAATTGTGGAATGATTGAAAAGAGAAAACCATGGTTAAGAATGTTTTATAAACACATTGTGTTTTATTGTTGTCATGGGTTATTATTTTTGTGTACAATATATAATAAAAGACTCAAGAAAACATTGTATCAATAAAGGGAAGTAAAGTTAATGAAACTAAAGACCAAGAAAAATATAGTAATATAATACGAAGTCAACAAGATTATAATTTAGACAAGAGATGGATAGATTCTGGTAAATGGAAGGTACACACATTCCATCAAGACAGCAAATTTCAATACTAACTCCTCCATTTCAGAATTTACTATTTAGAATTCATCTTCTGCAATTCTACAATACATGCAAAACTAAAAATGAATATTTATTATGAGTCAGGTGCTATCATTCTGCAGCATAATAACTCTGAGTAGTTCCTAAATTAAACCACACAACTGTTAACAATAACTTGTTTACTTCAAACAGAATACATTGCATACAAAAGACTGGGTTCATTCTTCATGCAAGACATAAATCATTATCTATAGTTTATGATCAGTTGATTTCTACACTGCACTAAAGCTAATGTGGTAAGTGCATTTTGGTGTAGGGTGAAAAATGAACCCAGACATAATGATGGCTACAGCTTGTTCTATACATCTTGATTTAATTTTTGGGGGGGGGGGGGAAATTGTGTACAAACTAAGTCATTTAGTTTGACAAGAAAAGTCGTAAAATGGGACAAAACTCACTTAACAAATGCCTCACTTAGCAACAGAAATTTTGGGTTCAATTGTGGTCGTAAGTTGAGAACTACCTATACTTTGGGATTTCTGGGCCCTCCTATCTGATCAATGACCTCGAGAGTGATGCTGGCAGGAGCATAAATCTAACATTGAGATTAACATTTAGGCTTGGGTGCCAGATAATGATATCAACTTAAAGGTCACTCATTTAATTACTGAAGAAAAGCATCAAACAAATAGATTTCGAGATCATGAAGTGTTCAAGGCAAAGCCAGAATGCATTAGATCACTGATGGAGCCAGTATTGAAATAAAAGTTTCTCATTTAACAGGGCACAAACCAGTGTAACATGGACTGTGAGAAATATGAATCAAGGAAATCTGAAATTAGTAAAATTGAAATGTGATATATGGCAAGGAAGATTGTAAAATGGGGCAAAATGGACAACAAATTTCTCGGTTAGCAACAGAGGTTTTAGGTTCAATTGAGGTCACAACCCAAGGACTATCTGTATTAAGCAAGAACAAGGAAAGTTACTTCAACCAATGGAGGAATATAACAAGAAAATATATTTTTATAAAGACTGAGCCAATCACAAATTTGTGCTTAGGATACTAATATTCAAGAATAAGGCTAATATCTAATACAGGGGCAAATGAGATGAAAAAAAGATGGAAATACTATAGTGACATCAGGAGCATTCATAGTACCACATTTTTCGGAGTATAAGATGTACTCTTTTCCCTCAAAAAAGAAGCTGAAAATCTGGGTGCATCTTATACACAGGGTGCATTTTTTTGCCCCCTGAAACCCTGCACCTTTCACCAAAATGGCTATGCATATAGCCTTTAGGAGACTTTCAAAATGCTCCTGGGCTGGGAAGGGCAGAAATAAGCAAAAAACAGGCTATTTTTTGCTCAATTTTGTCGTCCCCCCCCCAGCCCCCAGGAACACTCTATAAGCCTCCTAAAGGCTATGAATGCCCTTTTTTGACAAAAATTGGCCTGTTTTCAGGAATGGACAGTTTTTTGCTCATGGGGGGGGCACCGAGGAGCATTCTACAAGCCTCCTAAAGGCTATTCATGCCCTTTTTTTTTGGAATAAAACAGGTCCATTTTTGTGAAAAATTGGCCTCTTTTGGGAGGTCTGCGGAGTGCAAAAACTTTTTTTTTTTAAATTTGCCTCTTCAAAATCTTAGTTATACTCCAGTGTGTCTTATACTCCGAAAAATGCGGTGAGTCAATATTTCATTAAAATAATGATGTACTTGTGTGTTACATGAAAAGGGCAGAGCTTGTGTCACAGTATAAGTTTTGTCATTTGTGTGTACACATCCTCTATGGATGCCTGTCACTGAAATATTTTTCAGACAGAATTAGAGACTATTATAGGCAAAAGATTTGTATAATGGGATTAAATTTAAAAATCAATTCCAAGAGAAAGTAAGGTACAAGAGACAACAGGTCAGCTATTAATCAGGTAAAGATAAAATACCAATGGGATGAGTTAAGAGACCGAACAGGAAGCATGAGAGCAAAGATTGGCAAAGAACATGGTGTACACCTCTATTGGAAAAAGGAGATGCAAAAGAATGCTCAAATTAGTGAACCATTCTACTGATTCTTCACACAAGCCATGTTTTCCTAAAATATTACAAAGAAAAAGAGCTGCAGGTAGAGAGAAATGCCAAAGGAACAGATAATTTAAAGAGAAACACAAGATCAAACAGCCAATAAAAAAGAGATAACGGAGAGGAAAAGTGTATATAATAAGCTCTATCTTTGCTTCATTGATTCCAACCTGTCCTTTGAATGTATAAATAGTGCCTGAATATGGAATGTATTAATGTGTGGGGCAGATATGTTTCTGACCAAGGACAGAACCTCTGAATTTACCAAGAATGCCATGAAACGGAAGAAGAACTAATCAGTCAGTTCTGAACCAGATGAAACTGGCTGTTCATGAAGCAGAAAATAACATACTGTGGGCATGTTAATTGAGGAGATGATGGACTAGAACAAATTATTCCATTTAGTAAATTTTAGTGAGGAAGAGAAAAGAAACAGATAATGGAAGATGGAAATGATAAAAGGAATTATTGGAAGGTCTCTCTTGTAAGAGAACAGCCATCTTATCATTGGAACAGTAGTTGAGTTATTTGGGTCGATGTGCATGTAGAATGTATATGGATGTATACATATGCATGAAGTAGCATCTGGATGGTCTACCTTTTGGGCTATGTAAGAATCTATAAAATAAATGGCAAAATTCCAAACATAAATATACTAAGATCAGAAATATCAAGTAGGTAATGGATAAAAAGGACTAATGGAGCAGATCCACTTTAGCTACATTTGATCTTATAACCTGCCTTACTTTTTTTTCCTGTTTACTTTCTGTACCTGTACTTTCTTTTTTGCGATGAAAAGTAGGTGACAAGCTATTTGCTCTTCGTTTAGTTCTAGAGGAAAACATCTCATCACCGACAGATGAGGTCCATTCTTTACAACGCTCCTTTTTGCTGTTAACTCTTCCTCTGTCCTTCTTCTTCTTCTTCTTCTTCCAATCCCCTCCTACAGATATAGAATTTTTCTGTTTCTCGGCCTCTGCGACTGCTCTATGGATGTGCTTTGGGACTGTTACATTTGGTCTAGAATACAAAGGAGGAAACAGAATGAAGGTAGGCATGGTGGACTCCAAATTTCTGCCAACATTTTATTTATTTTATGTATAGAATGACAAGGAGGGAATGATAGCAGTTGTCAATATATTTATACCTGTCTTCTATATCTATTCTGTTCATTATTATATCTATACTCCAATGCATTACTGATAATCCCCATCCTACATACTTTCCATTTATGGTTAAATATCACTGTGCAAATCACGTATTAGCCCTTGTATATTTATGACCAAAGAACAATGCACTCTGTTCTTCCCCTTCCGCTAACCACACAGGAGGGGCACATGTAGCACAGTGATGGAACTATGGGCTAACCACCTAGCCAGCCAGATAAGCTGAATTAAACCTCATGATCAACAGAGTGATAAATGTCATCATCAGATCATCCTTGGATACTTCATACAGAAACTAACCTAACAGTCTTTGCTGTAATAATGCTGTCATAATTCTCCGTCCTACTATTTCATACAATCCTATTCTGAGTCTCTTTTGTTGTATGGATAGATGTCTACAGGAGTGGAAGGAAGCATCTGATGAAACCTGTATTGTGACATCATGATATGATTTCTGACATTCCTTAGGTGTATCACTGCACATGTGTTATGTTCTGATCATTATGGCTTGCTGCAAATGCTTATGGCAATTAGCTAAATTTTAGCAAATATATTCTCCTGAGTTCACTGCAATTCAGAAAATAATGGTGGCTCATTTTGATAAAGAGCTCTTCCAGATAATAGCTTTGAAAGGGTTCAATTATTAAATAGTACAATTGTTTTTTTCAATTAAATTGGATGCCAACCATACTACATTAACTAGAGATGCCCTTCTGGGAATACAAGTTATTGCTCAATAAAATAGAACTGAAATGGAAAGGTATAGCTTTGATGGTGCAGAGCATTACATGATAGTTCCTGACAGCTCTTGAAAAATAACATAAAATCCAGTGTCACTGCTTGAATTTCTTCCATTTCCCTATAACAAAACTAAATTTTAACAGGTCTTGATTACAAAGGCTTGTATGTATTGCTACATTAAAAGTTTAATTTACATTGGCAAATTTCATAATAATTTATTATACGGGAGCATGGATACTTATGTAGCCCTGAGTTCATATGAGTGGGGAGGGAAATTTATTTTTTCCCCTATTTTATTTCCAATAACTATCATCCTCAGTTATTTGCAACAGGCAGATGTTTTTTTCTCAGAACGAGTAAGGATTTAGTTTCCAATGCAGAGTATCCACAAAAGACAGAAATCACTGGAAATAGTGTTCAAAGTTTCTGAAATGAAGAATCTGTCAGAAATATTGATAGTTACATGAGCAGTTGTAGCAGGAATCTGGTTTAACAGATATCTGACTATATGAATTAAAGGTAAATGTTCCCCTCATACATACGTGCTAGTCGTTCCTGACACTAGGGGGAGGGGTGCTCATCTCTGTTTCAAAGCCAAAGAGCCAGTGTTGTCCGAAAATGTCTCCGTGGTCATGTGGCCAGCATGACTAAACGCCAAAGGCACACGGAATGCTGTTAACTTCCCACCAAAGTGGTTCCTAGTTTTCTACTTGCATTTTTATGTGCTTTCAAACTGCTAAGTTGGCAGAAGCTGGGACAAGTAACAGGAGCTCATTCTGTTACACAGCACTAGGGATTCAAACTGCTGAATTGTCAACCTTTCTGATTGACAAGTTCAGTATCTTAGCCACTGAGCTACCACATCCCTATATGCATTACATGCATTTAAATTATACAACGAAAAGCATTTATTCATGCTCACATGAGGTAATCCATCATCTTCGTCATGTTGATGTAGCAGCAGGAACAAGTGTACCTTCTATGACTAATTTTAAAAAGCCCATTTCGTACACAATGATCCTACAACAAAACATTTTTAAAAGATTAAACTTTGATTTTTAATATAACGAGTTATAAATAATTCAAATTAAAGAAATGTGTTAAACAACAAGAAAAGGTGGTGAGTTGATTAACTATAGAGCACAATGTTCTGGAACTCAATTTCTCAGAATATTTTAAAAGGCAAGTGTTATTTACTAAAAAATAGTTGACTATTCTTCAATCTTCCATAACAAAGATTGATTACTACAGTAGACATCTTCAAAATAATGTCAAAAATAAGATTGTTTAAACAAAATATTGAATAATTACTCTATGTTATTAATTATGTATCTTATGCTAGATACTTATTTTACCTATTTAGGGAACTAATACAGAGCCGAGGTGGTGCAGTGGTTAGAGTGCAGTACTGCAGCCCCTTCAGCTGACTGCTAAGCTGCAGTTCGGCGGTTCAAATCTCACCGGCTCAAGGTTGACTCAGCCTTCCATCTTTCCGAGGTGGGTAAAATGAGGACCCAGACTGTGGGGGAAATATGCTGACTCTGTACACCGCTTAGAGAGGGCTGAAAGCCCTATGAAGCGGTATATAAGTCTAACTGCTATTGCTATTGCTACTGCTAATTGAAGTAGAAACAACCACCTTAACTTCTTTGTTTTAGGGCCAAATTGGTGTCAAAAGCAAAATATGACACCACTTTATAATTGTCTACTGTTTTTATTGCTAAGATTTTTTTTTCTTTTTATAACCCTGTTATCCCTTAATTTGGTGTAGAGCTAGGTTGACTGAATGGAGCTGAGATTTACTGGCTCCCTGACACCTACATGGAGTTCACAGCAAATATCTTCTCTTTGCATCCTAATAGGGAGGGACATCTGTTGCTACCTAGGATTGAACTCTCAACCTTCTGAGTGGTAGGTGAGTGCCTCCACCTCTAGGCCATCATGCCACTTGTTTTCTTGCTAAGAAATAAAGATATTGAAAAGAAGAGGAAAACCCAGAATAACAGAGTTGGAAGTGACCTTGGAGGACTTCTAGTCTTCAAAAACATTGTGCATATTGAAAAACTCAGGTTTTTAACACATCATTAAATCTTGTTTATTATTTTTCCATTGCACCAACAAAGAGCTGGTTATAAACAGGGAATAAATATATCTTTATATACATATTCAAAAAAAATATATCCAGGATTATAAATCTGAGGTACAACTATTTTCATAGATTTAATAGTATATAATATTTCTGGAAAAGTGCAGCTAAACAAAAGGCTTTGTTATATGTAGCTTTTGGGGGGAGAAACCCATTTAAAAATATTATGGAAGAACTATATAATTTTAAAAAATATATTTTAAAAAATTCTTGGTAATCTTTTGCTTTATAAAGTTGAACACTATCTAAATGTATTACTTTCTGCCCTGAGCATTCTTAGTAACAGAAATATTACTTTGTAGTAGCTGGTTCAGTTGAGAGGACACGAATTTAACCAACTTTCCCTTGTTCCAATATTCTTGGAAGTAAATTAAATGTCAGGCCTGCAGCCATATTCTTTTTGGATCTTTGGCCTGCCACACTTTCTATTATTCTTGTATGCTTTTTCTATTGTGAGAAAATGGGAGGGGGGATTGTACAGAGTTAGAAGCTATGTAGCCCAAACAAAATTCCTTTCTAGAAAGCCAAGGTCATCCTTTGTCTCTGCACCTCTGCACCTGACTGGAATTGGATGGGTGAAACTGCCAGCATGGCAGTGGAAGATTGGACCATGTGATGGGCTGGTGAGTGTGGGGCAAGTTTGTGAACTTTCAGTTGGGTGGGGAAAATGGGGAAGCTTTCAGATTCGGGTTTTCCTAGATGTGCCAACATTATCTCTTAATAAATTGGAACTTTGAGCAATACTTTGCCTTGGACTCTGATTTAATTTTGGATGCTATTTGGAACCCTGACAACATATCTGTATTAAGAGCCGAGGATGAATTAAGGCCCCATGTAGGAGATATAAACACTTTATATAATTTTAGCATAGGTTGTACTGAATATGTAATTAGAAGTTTTTATTTTCCTCTTTTTCTTGTTTATAAATTTTAATTTTTTTAGTAAAAGATTTGCATTTATATAACCATGAAAAAGAGGAATTATTCTAAATAATTTTCATGTCTTTTACAAAAGCTTTAGTTTATAATGATATTTTAAAAAATCACTTGGATAAAATAGTAAGGTTTTTTTCTGCTCATTCTGCTTTTCATTATTTTTGGGATATAACAGAGTATTACAATAGGATCAGGGGTTTAATCAACTTACCTTCACTACTGGTTCAAAAATGTGAGTGTGCTCACATGCCCCACCTCTGCGTATGGGCAGAGCATCAAAAAGGGGACGTGATGACATCCGGGCGGGTGGGCGGAGCCTCCCGCTGCCAGCACTACTGGTTTGCCCAGACCGGATAGAACCGGCTGAATTTCACCACTGAATAGGATCTACTTTGTCTATCTGATTAATTACTGAAATACTGAAATACAATACAATATTATTGAAGGAAAGATTCAGGTATCAATAAAGGTAACACATTGCAGGAATTTAAATTTGGAAAAGACAAAAGAAGTTGTATGCTTACCATTTCATCAGTTAATCAATTGTTCCTCAGCTCTGACAACTTTAAGACGTGTGTGCTTTCAGAATTCCTCAGCCATATCTTAGACTGCTGAGGTTGAGGTACACTGAGTTAACCAGTCAAAAGATGAGGAAATAATTCCTATCCTGGTAGAGCCTTGAATTGGTACATTCAGCGCATTGCAATTCCAGCCAGATGTGGGTTGCTCATTGATTGCTTACCTTTTTATTGTTGTATTTCAAAACTGTGTAGAGTTTATCATCTAAATCAGCTTTATTTGGTATTGCTATGACAACACCAGGGACGTAATACTCTTCACCTGATGGCTTCCTTATTCTGGTGAATACATAATCTCCAATCTGTTGAATAATAATAAATGTGAGTTGAACACACCTATCTTAAATGTAAATATCCTAAAGTTTTAAAGTTTGAATCTGAAGAAAGGTGAGAACCCAGTAAGAATATACAAAGATATATACAGATTTTTAATTAAAAATTTCAACCCATACCTGACTCTTCTCTGCAGTTAAATAGCAATAGCACTTAGACTTATATACCGCTTCACATAGTGATGGAATTCGAAAATTTTTACTACCAGTTTTGTGGGTTTTGCTTGGTGGGCATGGCGTTGCTTTGTCAGCATGGCAGGGGAAGGTTACTGCAAAATCCCCATTCTCTCCTTACCCCACTAACCAGCTCTGTTCTCCTGTTCAGGGCAACAAAGAAGATCAGCTGGGAGGCAACAGGTATGTGGTCATCCTATTTGCCAGTTCTCTGAACAGCTCAAAATTTCCGCTACTGGTTCCCCAGAACCTGGCAGAACTGGCTGAATACCACCTCTGGCTTCTCGCAGAGTACTTTACAGTCCCTCACTAAGTGGTTTTACAGAGTCAGCATATTTCGCCCAACAATCTGATTCCTCATTTTACCGATCTCAGAAGGATGGAAGGCTGAGTCAACCTTGAGCCAGTCAGAACTGAACTCCTGGCAGTGGGCAAAGCTAGTCTGCAATATGCATTCTAACCACTGTACCACTATGGCTCTTAAATTCCATTCCACTCCCCAAAACGTAACATAAATGAACCTATGCTTTATCCACTAAAAAGTAAAAAACTAGATATATAGCCTTTGGTGCAAGCTTGAAAAAGCAGAATATGTTCAGTTGCAGCTCCATTTGATTTGTTAATTACATATGTTCTGAACTAGGACAGCTTAGCTACAATGATCATGTTCCAATAACCATTTGTTTACCATAATGTACTTTACAGGATTCTACCTTTGAAGACACAGGCCTCAACTGATACAAAATGCTAAAACCCAATCAGCAAATGGCACCCACATCTATTCTGTGAACTGTACTGAGGTTACCTGCACTGGATGTTAATTCTCTTCCGAACCCATATCAAGGTCATGATACTCCCTCCCCAGTACTGTATATACCAGCGATGGTAAACCTTTTAGACACCAAGTGCCTAAACTGTGCACGGACATGCCCAAACTAAAAGGTTTGCATGCGCATGGACATGTGTGAACATGCATGACCATGCACACACATGTCAGCAGAGATCCAAAGACCAGCTGGCTGGGAGGAGGCAAGGCATCCCAACACCAACAGCACAGCAAGAGGTAAGATCTTCTTCTTTCGTGAGCTTCTGTTTCATTGTTTGGAGGGAAACAGAAGTTCACAAAAAAAACGCCACGGAGATCTGACCTGGGGCAACGACGCGCGTGCCAGCAGAGAGGGCTCTGCGTGCCACCTCTAGCACACATGCCATAGTTTCGCATCAAGGGTATATACTATGCTGGTCATTAAAGCTGATCTTCAGCACTTTCTTTAGGTGTCCTTGATGGGAAATGCACTGACATAGTTATTCTAGGACAAACAGATCTAAGTTGCAAAAGTCCAGATGGCCACTAAATGGCAGCAAATATGTTTTTTTTCCTGCTCCTCCTAATTTCTGTCTAATGGTAGCACTAGCTTTTTTGTTGTTGTGGTTCTTTCACTACAAAGTTCATTGATTTTGAGGTGTATTAAACATTATGGAAGTTCAATCTTATCAACTATTTTTAACATGCATCTTTACACTTCTGGTACCTTTTGATGCTGCTACATATAAATAAGTGGGTGCAATGGTTTGTGGTTTTTACAACTGGGTAGTTTTATGAGTTTTGTAACCTTTCATTTTTATAAGCCACCTAAGATTTTGCATAAATATTGAATGAATGAATGAATGAATGAATGAATGACATTGGAATGTAGAGTTAATACCTTCATTTATAAAATATGGAAAGAAGAAATAAGCCCAGGTATTTATTAGACTATCACCTCCATTTTAAAAAAGATGTTTATAATTCTACATGGGACCCAAACTACTTTTGATGTTTTTATTTTTGGGGAAAAAAACAAAAAGAAAAAAAAAATCAAGGGTCAATTTACTTTATAAACATACAATGCCAGATGTGCCAGATCATGTTTTTCCATAGCACATTGCTCTGATACTTATCTGAAAATAAAAATGAATTTAATACGGTTCACTTCCAATTTGATACGGTGAGGTGCATTTTGCAAACAGTTATGTGTACAAATTGAAAACGAACCACATCAAATCACAGATAAAAACTGCTGATCAACACTAGCCATTTTTTTAAAAGAATAATCTATTTCAATTTGCATGGAATTGCTGTTCCAAAAAAGCTATTTCCCTTTCAACTCTATAATATTTTTTATCAAAAAATGGTGCATTACAGCAACCCAAACAAAAACTATTCTTAGTTCCAGGATGAAAATTGCAATGAGGTCTATAGCAATTCCTTTTCCAAGATGATCAGCAAGGCAGAGTAGATTTGATCAAGTTGATCAAGACTGTAGCATGGGAGAAAAATAGGATAAATCCCTTTCCCATCCCTCACAGCCCAAATCTTGATCCCTGTCTACTCTAAAGACATTTACCCTTTTCACATATGACTTATATAGTCATTACGATTTATTACTGTGTAGAACAATTAATGGAAAATTATACCTACATAATAGATATAATAATAGATAATAGATATACCTTTCACTCCAATTATTTCTCCAATTATGGAGAAATGTTTCTTTTTAGGAAAGGTAGCTGATTTGTCTAGATCTAGTAAAAAAGGCTAAAAGAAAGACAAGGAATGACATGATAGTAATATTCCAATATTTGAGGGGCTGCCACAAAGAGGGGGTCAACCTATTTCCCAAAGCACCAGGAAGCAAGACAAGAAATAATGGATGAAAACTAATCAAGGAGAGAACAAACCTAGAACTAAGGGAAAATGTCTTAATAGTGAGAACAATAAACCACTGGAACTGTTTGCCTCCAGAAGTTGTGGGTGCTCCATCGAAAAAAGAGACTAGACAGCCACTTGTCTGGATTGGTTTAAGGTTTCCTGCTTGAGCAGGGATTGGATTAGAAGACCTCCAAGTCCCTTCCAACTCTGTTATTCTGTTACTCTACTCCAGGGGTGTCAAACTCAAGACCCTCAGGGCAGGGGGGAATTTCTGCTGGTGTTACTACCAGTCCAGCGCATGCATGATTTGCTCGTGATTTGCGCACACTCTGCATGTGTGTGCAGTTGCCTGTAAATAGGTCTGCGCATGCGCAGAATGTTAAAAATGTTTTTAAAAAACATGCCGCAGCAACTGGGAAACCGGTTTGAGGGTGTGGCAAGCCTGCCATCCCTACTGGTTCAGCAACCCAGTCACAATTTCCACTACTGGTTCACCGGAACCGGTAGCAACCCATCTCTGCCTCAGGGCCAGATCTGGCCCTTGGGGTACTTAGATCTGGCCCATGTGGCTGCCCTGGAAACAGGAAAGGACCAGCCCATGGTGCCTTTGCCAGCGAAAACAGAGGGCCATGTGTGGCCCTCTCAGGCTCTGTTTTTGGCTGTGCAGTTCTCCTGCAGCCATTTGCCAGTGAAAAAGGAGTCCAGGCAGGCCTCAAGTGGCCCCCATGAGCTCTATTTCTGCAGGCAGAAGGCTGCAGGAGACCATCAGCACCAAAACCAGAGCCTTGACAAGTGACATCATGCTGGCCATGACCACCCCACCCACGCACTCCAGCCCCCCAAGGTGAAACACAACCCTGACACAGCCCTCAATGAAATTGATTTGGACACCTCTGCTCTAGTCATTTTTACAGGATCAAATTGGACTTTTAGCATAAAGCTACAGTAAACCAGCTGTTCTGATCTGATCTTGTGTTCACAGAGAACTTCCAAATATATTCAAATAAAAAGCATATTGCCTTTAAAAAGCACCATGCAGCCTAAACCTAAACTTATCTTGAGAAATAGCATGCTACTCACGTGTAAGGGTGGACAAGACGTCGCACCTCCAATAAACAAAATGAACTTCAAGGGGACAATCTCACTCTGTCCATTAACAAAATCAACAAGTGCATAAAATGATGTGATGCTCTTCACCACTGTTCCTGAAACAAAAAACCCCAAAATTCAATTTACATGCACAATGTTCAGATGCATATTTTAAAAGGAATTTAAGTAACAGAATTGTAAAAGTTCCCACCTGAAGAAAAAGCAAGAAAACTACTGCTCTTGAAGATAATCCCACATTATCAAGAAAAAATAATGTGGGATTAAACAATGCAATTTGTAATTCAGTTTATTCAATGTGATAAATTATTTTTCTGGACCCACTATCAATTGGATTTTGAAAAGGGCTGAGATGAAGATTTTAAGATGTATGTTTGTTTGTTCATCAATCAAATTTAGAAATTGTCTATCTCCCTCCCATTCGGGTCTGAATCCAAATAAAAGCCCACAGCATCCAGTAGTACCAGGCAGTCCCCACATCTTAATACTAACCAAGCCTGATCCTGCTTAGCTTCCAAAATCAGATGAGATCAGGGTTTCCATAGTAGCGTGACTGTTTGAGGAATTAAGGAGCTGGACTGAGGGAGCAAGTTCCCCCTTCAACCACATATCTGTAAAAGGGTTGTATGCATGTATCTATATGCATATTTCTCCATGATGGCAGCGAAACTTCTTGTTTGGAGTTGGGTGTTTTTAAATCTATATAAATACATACATTCCCTCATCTGAAACACCCTTGCAACCTGTTTTCATCTTCATGCCTAACATGTAATAGATGTTTGCCTGGCCCTACTTCCAATTTCATATCCACAATTTATCAATGGCAAATAATTGAAAATATACCAGTATGTATTTGCACATTAAACAAATTGTACTGGATCTTTTAAAACAGGGATTTTAAAACTTTTTCAGGCCCTGAAACCTGTTAAGCAAAATAATACATTCTAGGAATCTCTGATCAAGAGGCAAATTTTTTAGCAATAAGGTTAAAGTTATAAGGTTTATTGTATTTATATGCCGCTCTATTCCCGGAGGGACTCAGGGCGGCTAACAAACCCAAGGGGGGGGGGGTAAACAAGAAGGAAATACAACAAACAAGGTACAAAGAGAATTTAAAAAGACAGTCAACAGTCACACGATTCGAGAGGGGAAGGGAACTCGTCAACCCCAGGCCTGCCGGCACAGCCAGGTTTTAACGGCTTTGCAGAAAGCCTGGAGAGAGGTGAGGGTCCGAATCTCTGCGGGGAGAAAACTGACTGTGTTTGAACGTTCGCTTTCTTTCTATCCCCCTCCCTAGTCTTATGGAAACCCATCAACTTTGAAAAAAGCCTGTTTAAGTGATTCTTGCTTTTGGAAACATTATGGAAAATTGAGCTATGAATTGAAAGACAAGAACTATATTAAGATCTGGGAACCAAAGATAATCTCACTAGTGATGCCAACTATAAAAAGGAAAGTTTTAAGGTTGGCACAACTCCCAACTATCATAATAATATACATATTCCCACTCTTTTTTCTGCTATACATCATTTTTTGTTCCTTTGGTTCTGAAAACCACAGCTGGATATTAAGCTTTATTCAACCAAGCAAAAATGTAAACCACTTGGATAACTTCACTAGACTTCTATGAACACAGGAGCATTTATTGAAGTAAGCCAGGAAGCATAACCAACTATCGTAGTTCAAGACTAGCCCTGTGTAAAGACAGTTATCAAACACCTTCCTATTGTCTTACCTGCCACTTGACTACAGATAGTCCTCAATTTACAACCACAATTGAGACTAGAATTTCTACTGCTAAGTAATGGAAACTAATCTCTTTTTTGCCACAATTATTAAGCAAATCACTGCAGTTGTTAATGTGATTGTTAAGTGACTTTGCTTGTCAGAAGCCAGATGGGAAGGTCACATGACTCTGGGATGCTGCAATAGTTATAAATAGATGCTGGTTGCCAAGTACCTGGATTTCTATCATGTGACCATGGGGATGCTACAACAGGTGTAAGTTGTCAGGACCAGTTTCACCGTAAATCATTTTTTTACAGTACCACTGTAACTTTGAACAGTCTTTAAGTGAATGGTTGAAAACTGAGGACTACCTGTATTTGTCTCATTTGAATGGGCTGGCCTGTTTTCCTTTGTTTTTGAAGTGATCAGATTTGCTCTTTGTCATTGCTACCTATGTGAGAACAAACTCTCGCATTGTGGATGTTTTAAAAATAGTTTAGGCCACAAGCATACATCAAACACACTCTGTTAGTCATTAAAGCTGCAAGTCTGAAAAAAGTTGCCATTACATTAAAGAACCCACTTATGAAAAGTAATAGAAGCAGTGGCACATTTTGTCACATTTACAGGAAAAGTCAGAAAAAACAGGCTGCCTTGATACACGTCTAAGAAATGCTGCACTTGTGTCAAATGGGAAGCACATCTTCTGAAATTGTGTTCAAAGCAGGCAAATGTATAATCATCCAAGCCTGTTCTTTCAAATCTTTACTTTCGCTCCCAATATTCTCTTTTGTATTTATATCTTAAAGAGTTGCAGTAAATTCTGTTATGCATAACTGGTTTCAGAAGTGTTAGTTAGCTGAATGTTGGAACACTTGGTAAAATCATCTCTGTGCTACTAATTGTAAATAAAATTCTATCCCAAATATATTCCTGTAGACAATATTTACCTGGGTAATAAAATCCTGTGGTTTCTGATCTTGCGATGACATTTTGGCCTTTGAGATAATCAAATACTTTTGTTTTTGGTTTCTTTGCCTGTGGTTAATAAAAAGGCCTGTATTATATAGGGAACACCAGATATTTGCTCTTTCTAATGTTATCATAGCAGAATCAACAGAAAACAAAGTACAGATATACACAACACATTTAAGACTTAAGCAGAATAAACTTGTCAAAAATATGGCCCTATATAATAACAATATTTGTAGTGAACTGAAATGTTTGACTCAATAGTATAATTGTTACTGATGTTTTTTTTTTGAACAGTACAAATTACAGCAACTGAATTCCAAGGTAATTTTTTAAAAAAAGAAAACAAAATACAATAAAATCGACAATTTAAATTTCTGTACTTTTCTACAGTATCAAAAAATAATAAAATGAGCTTTCTAGAAAATGTGTCAATCAAATTTTGAAAAATAAGTTGAACTAAAGCTATAAAGAATCTCATTGTCTGATCATTGTATCTTCAGCAATATAAAGCCATAGTTCTTCACAGACTTTGGAATAGACACATAAGATATTTGCATTTTCAGTTCCTAAAGATGTCAGGTCATAAATCTGGAAAAGAAATTTCCAATTTTGGCCTCAGATTGTCTTTGCCAACTAGATCATACAATATGATTAACATGACAGAATCATAATATTGGAAGGGGCCATTTAGGCTCTAAAGTCTAACACTTGCTCTAACCAGGAAATTGTGAGTTCTAATGCTGCCTTAGATATGAAAGCCAGTTGGGTGACTTTGGGCCAGTCATTCTCTCTCAGCCTAACCCACCTCACAGGGTTGTTGTTCTGGAGAAAATAGAAGGGAGAAGGAATATTAGGTACTGTATGTTTGCTGTTTTGGGTTACTTATGAAAATAATAAAGGTGGGATAAAAAAATCTTTTAAAAAATTTATGTAGTATAAAACATGTCTTCTTTCTGAGGTAATGATAAAGTATATGAAACATTTTGTATGTACTATATAAAATAGAAAGTATTTTCTCTTTTTCTTTCTGTTTCTCTCTTTCCTGTTTTTGATCCAAAGATTTGGCAATTGCTGTATGCTTCATTTTCCCCAAATAAACTGATTTTAATTACTCAAATAGACCTTTCACTGAATTTTGTTCAAAACTGAATTACATGTAGTCATCTTAAGAGCTTTCAAAATCCAGATTTGTAAAGCAATACAAATCTTTCACAATAATCTACTTCTGTACTATAATGGTGATAATACAGCCTCACTTACAGATTTATTTATGCAATTCTTTAATCTATTTAATAATCCACATGAATAAAGCAATAAGCAAAGAGTTGGTCACAGAAGGCCATCAATAAAAACACTTCTATTTCTCTTTGATAGCTAATGAAGTTAGGGGTTCTTAAGAAAGTTATTCTCTCATTAAAAATAGATTTTAATTATTTCATGAAAATTGTTAATGTCTGTTAGTCACATTTTTATAATTGTTTACTTAGGAGGATGTAATTGAAAAAGCTAACGCTTTTTATTTTCTTGAAGTGAAAATGAAATCTTGAATGCTACCTATATTTCTGCCCTTCAGTTCTTAAGGCTTTAAAGATGCAGATTAACAGTTACTAAGGATGATGTTCTGACTGGGCTGCTAAAAAAGGTTGTCTCAGGATAAGTGATTGCTCTGTGTTAATCACATCGTGTCTACAGCATATGTTGGCAGTTGTGGTGGGGGAGAGAACCAGAATAAGCCTATGAATTAAGGAAATTGATGAGTTGGTACAAATCAAGGTCACAGCAAAATTATCATTACCTAATTTATCAATCTGATGTATTTGAGAAGAAGTATAGATCAAATCTTTAAGAAAGTTCCGAGAACAATAACCTTAATGCAGGGATTCTCAAAAGGCAGATCAGGAACCTTCCAGATTTTGAGGAGGATAATTCAATTTGGGAAGCTTATCCAGGTAAAGCAAGACTGCGAGGTCCTTGGTGCTTTCTGAGTTTGATGGTTTTCTTGCAGATATTTCATTACCAAACTAGGTAACATTATCAGTGCACCAAGCTGAGAGATAACGAAGGACCCCTCAGTTCAACTCTGAGCTACAAATATTCTCTTTTATCAAAACTGAGCTGCTGCCAGGTATCATTTCCTCCTGCTTGAACAAGTGTTTGTCCAGGCAGAGCAGAAGGACTATATGGGAGGTTTCCGCCTATGCCTTATCTGTCTGCTACAATTGTCCTATTTGCACCATCCTGCTTCCAAGAGCCAAGATGCACTTGCTTGCTTTTGGAATCATATTTGCAACCTTTTCTTCCACCAATTATAGATGTAAGGCTAGAAGGACATGCAGGACTGAACTTCTTGGCTATTCATTGCAGGAGAGGAGGAGGCAGAAGAGTTTATGTTGATTGTGCCTACACACAAGACTTAAACAAAAATTCAAAGATACCCAAATGCTACTATCTAGTTTTTGGGCTGTTTACAGGTTGGTCATTTCTGTACATAACTATTAACATTGAAATCTTATGTAATCTTTAGAACAGATTATGGTAGATTAACATAAAGTTTCCAACTGGAACAGAAAAAGCTAATTGAATAACACCAAAAAATAAAGCCCAAGCAAGTGAAAAGAAAGCTTTTCAGATGTTTTCTTTTTAAAGATAGAAGAAACACACAATTAGAAATCTCCAGAAGTCTGGCTTTTTCCTGCTGATAAGCTTTCTATATTATGCTTGCCAAAGACCTTATTAAAAGTCTTTATTAGCATTTTAATAACCTTCCCTGTCAATAATTCCCATTTCTCTGACTGAATGTAATCCTTGAAAGGCAAGAGTTTTCATTTATCATCTGTATATTTCAATTACAGATTACATCTGTTCCTAGCCAAGTAAAACGTGCCCATTTCCTTGAAATGAATATTTAAAGTAATCTCATAGCTAAATAAAGATGTTTCATGTCCCTTGCACCCCAAATGTAATGATTTGGAAAATCAACAGATCTCTATTTTATTTGGAAAAACTCCAGAGTACTTCCATTATGCAGATAAAATCAGCAATTTTACCATTTTAACAAAGAATTGAATTGAATTGAATTGAATTGATTTTATTTGTAGGCCGCCCTTTTCCCTGAGGGGACTCAGGGCGGCTCACAGAAACCAGGGAGAGGGGAATACAATACAATACAATACTAAAACAACAACACATAATAAAATAATACACAACATGCATACAACATTCGGGCGGGGCAATGGTCCTTATCCCCAGGCCTGACGGGCGAGCCAGTTCTTCAAGGCTATGCGGAAGGCCTGGACGGTGGAGAGGGTGCGGATCTCTACGGGGAGCTCGTTCCAAAGGGTCGGGGCCGCTACTGAGAAGGCCCTCCTCCTTGTGGTTGCCAGCCGGCATTGGCTGGCCGATGGGATGCGGAGGAGGCCTAATCTATGAGATCTTATAGGTCGTAGGGAGGTAATTGGCAGAAGGCGGTCTCTCAAGTAAGAGAGGTTAAGGATTCAACAAATTTATTCAGTTGTTCATTCATTGACAGGGCTTCTAGGCCTCTCTAATCAAGCTATCTCTGAGGGAATTAGTTTCTCAAATCCTTACCTTAGCAGGTACCTTCTGAATAAAAAGCTTGCCCGATACTCAGTGTTTGTATATACACATGCATACTAAAGTATAGGAAAAGCATTATTCAAATATGAAGTAATGTTAATTGTACTCCAAATAGTACATTCACATTATTTGGCCTTGTTTTCTCAGGGAAATATCAACATAGCCCATAATGCATTCTCAAAACTACTAAAGCAGATTTTGGAGACTTGGTCAAAGACCATGCTAAAATTACATCAGGCAACCTTAACAGCTATTTTCAATATTTCTCAATCAATCACTCACTCATTAATTGGTTCTTTCATTCTTTTTTTATTTGCTGTGATCAAGAAACCATCTCTATGTAGGCCTGCTTGTTTAAAAGGCAATTTCTGATACAAAAATTGTAATGGTGCCCCCTTTCCTTCTTTAATGAATTGAACTGTAGGTAGAAGAAGGAAACAGGGAGACTACATCTCCAGACTAAAAAAAAACCAATAACTACACATTATGTTGCAGCCATGTTTTAAGAAAGCATTGCAATGCTAACACCAGGGCTCTTTCAAAGTGCCCTCAGAAGCTTTATAGAATTAGTTCAGGTTCCTCAAAAACTAGGAAGTTTCATAACAAAATGCATCATTTCAGTACACACACAATTCAAAAAATAAATCCATTTTGACAGTTCCATACTGCAACATGTTAGAAATACTTGAAAAGTAAAGTTCAAAATCACACCTTCTGCATATTTGCCACTATTGCAGTGTTTTTCAAACTTGGCAATTTGTAGATGTGTGGACCAACTCCCAGAATTCCCCTTCCAGCATGGGAATTCTGGGAATTGAAGTCCACACATCCTCAAGCTTCCAAGGTTAAGAAACATTGGTTGCTATTGTAAACTGTTTTTGTTTATGAAGTCTTGTTTCTATTTCTTCATTCTACTTTCTTTTACAGAAGCTGCCTTGGAAATTTCTTCAAAAAACATAAATAGCAGCAGCTACCAACCTCTTTAGTGGGACAGATATGGAGTGGACAAATTCTCTGGGGTTCTTCTTTGGATGCTATTTCAAGATCAGAAGCCTGTTGTAGATATGTTAATGCTGTTAGAATCTCATCTTCCAACATCACAAGCTCCTGGTTGGCAATTGGCCACTTTGCATTGGCTAAGGCTTCGAGTAAAGATTCTTTACAGTCCACGTAGGAAACTGGCTGATCCTGTTGAAATCTAGTAACAAAGGTTATGTATTATTATTTATATGATTTATGCTACCAGCATTCCAAAATCAATTATATATATTAACTGTATCAAGTGTGTATTTTTCCTAGAGGAGAGTATCTGTTAGTTAAAAGATTCCTATTGTTTCCATGCTCACCTTTTCTTGCATTTGCTCCAGATAACTTGGAACATTCTAGGGCTCTCCCCCATAGCTCCATCACTATGTTTCCTTTCCAACTAAAAATTGGGAAGAAATCACCATGGCATAAATCATGCTGCCCCACAAAGTGCTGTCAGTATGCATTTGGAATGGGAGCAGAATAACAGAGTTGGAAGGGACCTTCGAGATCTTCTAGTCCAACCTCCTGCTCAGGAAGGAAGCCCTACACCAGGGCTGTCAAATGCCAAGTTTAGCGAAGGTGTAGAAAGTTCTGATACATCACGTGACACCACCATGACAACATGAGTTTGACATCCCTGCCCTATACCATTTCAGACAAATGGTTGTTCAATCTCTTCTTAAAAGCTTCCAGTATTGGAGCACCCACCTTCTGGAGGCAAGTCATTCCACTGATTAATTGTCCTAACTGTCAGGAAATTTCTCCTTAGTTTTAGGTTGCTTCTCTTCTTGATTAGTTTCCATCCATTGCTTCTTATCCTGCTTTCAGGTACCTAATAGCTTGACTCCCTCTTCTTTGTGGCAACCCCTGAAATATTGGAACAATGCTAGCATGTTACTCCTAGTCCTTCTTTTCATTAAACTAGACCTAACCAATTTCAGCAATTGTTCTGGCTGAGGAACTCTGGGAGTTGAAGTCCACAGGTCTTAAAGTTGCCAAGGTTGGAATTCACTGCATTACTGTATTTTCTCCAAAATGATTACTGACTTATTGACCAGTTGACTTATCCACCACCAGGTGGCAATGAAAAGTTACAATGTGAGTTCCATCTCTAAGTTCTCCAAATTTATGCAGCTGAGTGTAGCCCCTAGACATGTCTTTACAAACTGGAATCTGAGAAATCACTTTAAGGATTCTGTTGTTACACCAGATACACAGCTCTGATCAGTCAAAAGAATAGAAATAAAAATGTCAAAGCTGTATCTGCATCAGGTTACATGTACGCTGGACCTGCCCTGAGAAGAAGAACTGATGAGGAGACACTGAAGACAGAATTCCCTAATGAGTAATGGAAACTTAATGAGAGTCATATTCTTCCAGGGCTGCTCAACTTCAGGGCTTCACAGTCTCCACTTATATTAGCCTTTAAAAAGACAGAAAGGGAAATGACTATGGATACTGAGGTTCTAGCCTTCTCACAGTCAAGACTGGCCTGTTCAGCAGATGCCAGATTCAGGGACCAACGGAAGAGACAGACCTTCCTGAACAATTTCAGTCTATCTCATTGTGATGAAGAAAAAACACCACCTTCTTTGTAAGTAAGCTACATGCAGACTCGGGACTAAGCTGAGCTAAGCAAAGCTAAAGATTGCTCGTTGAAGGGGCAGGTGGGGGGTGTTACAAATAAAGGTAGTGTGAGACAGCAGATAGCAAAGGACAACAAGAAGTTTGCAGAGAAAGCAGCTGTTGGTATGAACAGACACCCCACCTCCCTCTACCATTTTATTTTGAGAAAGTACCTTTGAGTTCTTGGTTTGGACTGTGATGCTTCAAAGAGTCCAAAGGCCATTAAAAACAATGTGGACTTCTGAGGACCCACTCTGGCCTCACTATTTATTTGCATTGACATCTATGGGCATATCCTCAAGAACTAGGGGCTTGTGATCATTGTCCCTACATATTAAAAAAGGGAGAGAGGATGATCCTGCTAATTATAAACCAATCAACCTCCTCAAGGCAGTCAGCAAATTATGTGGAAGACACCTGTAATGGAAATTCCCAGGCTGGCTGAAACAAGAAAGCATAATTGTAGAGAAGCAAGTTGGGCTTTAGGGAAGGCTGATCCACCACTGAAAAATGCCTAGTACTCCATAAGTTCATTGAAAAATATTTTTCCTGCAACACAATCTCCCTTTATACCCTTTTCATAGTGTTCAAGGTATTATTTGATTCCATATCCTCAGCTAAATTGTGGAAAAACTGGAGGCTACCTTGAATGACTAAAATCTACTTTAAAACATAAGATGTTTGAAGGGACCTCACTCAAGAATTAAATAACAGCTAACCATCCAGGGACTCTCACTAGTGCCATTAAAACTGAGAAAGGCATCAAAGAAGGATGCATACTGGCTGCTCTTTTTCAAAGTCTATATTAACCCCATGATGGACCATCTCCACAACTCAAACATTCACTCTCCAAACCTTACTGCATCCTATACCATGCAGCTGATGCAGCAACACTTTGAATAAAAATCTATTGGCCTTAAAAGAGCATGGAAAACAGATACACAGTACTGCAAAGATGACCATGTAGAACTCAATCATTAAAAAATTAAAGTCATGGCATGAAAGCCCAAGGCCAAATGCATTTTCTTGCTTTGTCCTGCATAGAAATCTGTTGATTCACTGCAAATTGTCATACAGAACTACGGCAACTAGAATGACATAAGCAATCAGTGAGGTTCCATTTGATCCCATTAACTTGCTATCATTGGGTAGTTTTCAGTATGAGAATTCATTGTGTGAGCGCACAGAGTGACAAACTCCTGCATTTTACTTTACATTATAATTAATGGCACTTAAGGTTAATTTATTAAGTATCTACTATGAACCTATTATGTTTTCAAGACAGGTTGAATGCACTTCTATTGAGATGAGTTAGAAAAAAAGTTTTTTTCCCAGTTCTGGAGAAGCATCAAGTGATGGTTTTGATGCATGAAAACAACAATAATTCATAAAGCAGCAGAGACAGAATTTCCATATAATTTTCATCCCCCAATCCGATATGAATGTGGGAAGTGCTGAAGATATACAAATGTTCTTAATACCTAGGGTGTGTTCTAAATAAGGTAACTGTTAGGTACATTCACCCCATTAACACTTTTGACTATTAACATCTGGTAAAGGAAACAAAATGTGGTATCTTACTTCTCTTTTTCCTTCTGTGGTAATGCTTTCCAAACAATTTGGTCAAGGCGCCTATAAAGGTAAATGAGACAATCTTTCAGAGGGCAACCCACTTGTTCCAAGGCAATGAATAAACTAAAAGAATGAGCTCATGAATTCTCTTTGTGCCTGGCAATGGCTTTCCATTGACTGAGGTCTTCCATCACCCAACAGTTTAACAGGAGATGTCAAGCAGAGGTGGTATTCAGCAGGTTCTGACCAGTTCTGGAGAACTGGTAGTGGAAATTTTGAGTAGTTTGGAGAACCGGTAAATACCACCTCTGACTGGCCCTGCCCCCATCTATTCTTTGCCTCCCAAGTGCCAGCTGATTGGGGGGAAATGGAGAATTTGCAGTAAACTTCCCCTGCCATGCCCACCAAGCCATGCCCACCAAGTCATGTCCACCAAGCCACACCCACAGAACTGGTAGTAAAAAAAATTGAATCCCACCACTGGTGTCAAGGATAACCTTTCTGAACCAGTAAATACCACCTTTGACTGGCCCTGCCCCCATCTATTCTCTGCCTCCCAAGTGCCAGCTGATTGGGGGGAAATGGAGAATTTGCAGTAAACTTCCTCTGCCATGCCCACCAAGCCATGCCCACCAAGTCATGCCCACTAAGCCACACCCACAGAACTGGTAGTAAAAAGTATTGAATCCCACCACTGGTGTCAAGGATAACCTTTCTGACTCTTAGGCCTGTCCTAGAGAAATCTACCTCAAGAAAATTCACATTTGATGTGGACTGTGGTCTTCAAAAACTCACAGGAAAATAAAAACATTGGTCTTTCAGAAATCACAAAACTCTTTTTTTTTACATAAAAAATATCTTCCATTGCGTACAGTGTGTCGATTGGTTACAAGGTTTTTGTGCATCCTTTCCATAGTCATCATTTAAACTTTATATAAAGTCACGCATTGTCAATCATATATATACATATATACATATATGTATATATGTATATGTATATACATATATATATATCAGCACAAACACACACACACGTACGCATGTCTCTTGTGACAAGCCGAAGGACAGAGAATGGAAGTAGTGATCTTCCTCCCATATTTGGGCATACCGGGGGTTGTAAAATCTAATATATCTAATATGTTTGACTATCACTATTATTTCTTCATTTTAAATGAGGTATTCTAAATATGGGTTCATTTATTATAATAATTCATTACATCATCTTCAATATATCCAATAATAAAGTATTTTTATATCCTGCTCTAAATCATTCTATTATTTTGGTATTGGTAACATTATCTAGTAATTTTCAATTCCATGTGTTTTTTTATCTGACCACTGATAAAATAAATCCCATATCCTCTAAAATTGTTTATCTTCTTGTTCCCTAATTTCATATGTCAACTTACTCATTACAGCACATTCCATTATTCATATCATCATTCTAATATATATGTATACAATTATTATGATTATTAAGCATTCATTGAGTATAGTTATTATTACATCCTTTTATGTGAAGTATACTAAATTTAAAGTAAAGTAATTTATATTATGGTATTTTATCATCCTGAAATCATCCAATGGTAATACATCTATATATTCTATTCTATATAGAATTGTTATTCTTTTGTAACAAAGCTTTTCAACAACATCTCCATAGTCCTCACTTACAGTTTATATAAAATTTCATATTATCAATCTAGCGTATATAAATGCATTATCATTGTTAATCATTTATTTGACTATAATTATTATTACTTTGTCTTATACATAATACTCAAAATGTAACTAAGTTCAACTTAATTTTTATTTGTGACATTTCATTTCATTATCCTATATCCTTCCAGTAGTAGTTCAGTCCAATATCTCTTGCCATTTGTAAAATCTGAATTCTGATAGATTTCTTAAGTCTTATGTGGACTTCTCTTGGCAACTTGTTGCTCATTGCATATCTTGTAAAGACTCGAAACCCTCCATCTGTTCCTTCCATCAGCTTGTCTTTAGTTATCACTGGTGCTTCAGCCAAACTCTCATTATTTCTGCCAGATTTTCTCCCTTTTCTTCTTCCATGTTTTGAAGTCTGAGTTTGAATTTTCTTATCACTTTGTTCATATTTTTCTGCAATTTTTTGAGTATCATCAAATTTCATCATCGTTTTGTAAGTATTCTCAACTCTTCCCTCCATTCTTTCTATTCTTTGTTCTATAATCTCATCTCTTTTCAGTGTTCTCTGTACTTATTAGTACTTTTTGAATTTCTAGCATAATTATTTGTAATGTTAATTCCTTTTCTTCTTCATGTTGTGCCATTTTTCCAGGTTGTAAGCACTGCCACTAAAACATCCAAGGCTTATTGATGGGTTTCAAACAAATTCACTGTAATCTTTCAAGTCAAGGCTTTCTCTTTACTCCAGTCCAGCTACTGATAGTACTCCAAAAGAGCACCTGTATAAACAAATCGTGCTCTTCCCATTGTCCCTTTCAATAAACAAAATCAAGGATTTTATATCAAATGTTCAAAGAAAGTAGTGCTTCCAAGCCTCCAGCCTCTAGGTGGCAGTGTTATTTCTTTTTCCTCTGCTTTTACCCCTTTCTTTGTTCCGGACTTGAGAAAAAAAATGTTAAAGGGTAAAATCGAACTGAGCATTGAAAAGAAAGAGATTCTTTATCCACAGATACAAAAAATGAGGAAAAATAGAAGAAGGAAAAAAGAGACCAGTACAATTTAAAAAGTACGAGGCATTTGTAAGAATTCCATCCATTAAAAAAAAACAAAGTTAAAGAAAGATAGATAACACACTAATTTTAATACAGGCTTAATCTGCCACTTACTCTCTTCTGTCTTCAATTTAAAGTTTTTTTGGGTGTTCTCTTTTCTAATAGTAAAATTTATCTCACCATTTCAACACTCCCTCTCTCCTGCTTTCTTTCCGTTCAGGGGCTGTTCCAACCTTGTGCAGCCTCAATGGCTGCTTCTCTTGTAGCTGGAAAAAAGAGCTTCTCCTGGATTGATCAGGGGCTTTGCAATGCCCCTGAGATCAGCAGGACATGCCCTTTTCTAACACCGGGACGTTTTAGGTCCAAAAGGACCGTCCAGCAGCAGAGATATCGACAGAAATCCTGGAGCTCCAAGATTGCATGTCGTGTCATAGCGATGTCAAGCCCCACCTCCAGAAATCACAAAACTCTTTTGGTTTTGCTAAACAGCTCACAAAGCTGCCTCTCTCAAAAATATTTTGCTTAAAGAAAACCCCACTAGATTCATAATAGTACAACACAGCCACAACAAATATTGAGCCAATATCAAGATATCTGTCACAAATGAGGACATTAGATGTAGGTACTTCCTCTTTCTGGGTGTGGGAATCATCCTGATCAATCAATATTTACAAACAACAACAACACCCCGCATCCAGTCAAAAGATTCTGGTCAGTGTAGAACAGAACATTAACATAAACTATTCTTCAATAATAATCATTTATTCATAAAAGCCCATCAATCTTGAGTTCTCATGCCAGAAAAATATCCAGTAGGTTAAATCCTATAATTAGACTTGCCTTTCATATATTTTTATTGCTTCTTGCACCTTCTTTCTATAGACATGAAGATCTACTGCTTGAGGATTAAGCAGGGTGACACATTTCTTATCACTGCTCACATGGGCGAAAGGGAATATCTGTAGCGGAATACAACAAAATATTTATTCCTATATCTAATGACCTTGGAATCGAATCTCGCTGCTTTCCCATGTAATCTAACGTTTATTAGACTCTTACGGATATTACACACTCCTGTTTAACAAAATCCTTAGTACAGTTTAAAATGACATTAAAAGCCTGACAACAACTAAAAGTAATTCATATTAATAACTAATAAAACTGACCAAGCACCATAAAGGAAAAGATCCATTTTATTTAACAAAAAAAAGGCAACACACATTTGCTTGGTATTCATGTAGCAACTAAATGAGCATCAGGTAAGTTGATGTAAGCAGTAGCTTAATTGGAGTAACAATAAAATATAAATTACTATCTCAAATTATGGAGCACTTTAAAAATATTGCAAAAAGAAAGAAAGAATGTAATAGAACTGTTGCAAATCTCATAACAGCATTTACTAGTTTTATTGTTAGCTTAAATTGAGACAATGTGTGGTTGCTATTATTGCTCTCAAAGATCATTACACATTTAATGAACCATATTCTAGCGAGCTTATTACATGCAAAGGCAGAATGCTATTTGTGGCCACCATTTTTAACATTCAGTGCTGTACACTGTTACCCACATAATGCAGGCACCAACCTTTCCCTGTTGCATTCTTCTGAACACAACTTCACCAATTAACTTCTTACTCTGTGGTGGCACAGTGGTTAGAACGTAGTATTGCAGGTTAATTCTGCCGACTGCCAGCAGTTCAATCCTGACTGGCTCAAGGTTGACTTAGCCTTCCATCCTTTGAGGTTGATAAAATGAGGGCCCAGATTATTGGGGGCAATATGCTGATCTGTAAACCACTTGAAACAATATGTAAGTCTAAGTGCTATTGCTATTGCTACTCTTGTCAATAAACCACTGTATTACCATCTTCTTTGGAAAGGCATACCATTAATCTGGAGAAACCAAAAAGGTGGTCCAAAACATAATAACCGCACAACATAGGCAACATTTATAAGAAAATATTCCTAGATACTCTTACGTGTGCTACATTCTGCCACAATTAAAATGAAAGAATAGACATGGTAGATCTGATTGCAGTCTGTGACTAGAATAGTAGAGAATGTAATGTTTTAAAAGCAGCACAAAAAAAGCACAAAGACTTACATCATCAAATACTTTGGAAACGACATGTTTATCTAAAATTGGAACATAAGTTGTTGTACGAGAAACTGCTGTTGGGGATAAGGCATCCATTAGGGTAAGTCTCTTAGCAACCAAACCGTGAGTCTTTAGCCATTCAGCTGAAGGGATATCCAAAGAGCTTTTTAAAAGAGAGAATGAAAGAAACACATCGTGACCACCCCAATAATGATGGTTTATTCTCAAAAGAAGGAACCTCTTCTTTTTTATTGCATATATACTTACTCATCCTTTATCTTTTGTTCAACTTTTGGGCTCTTCTGTTCTGTAGGGGAAATTTTAAAAAATGTTTTATAGTGTCAATGTTGTTTACTTGGATGATCAAACATTCGAGTTCAGCAGAATAAAATCTGGGCTAGGAGATGAAATAAGTTTAATATGAGAGAAAGCTACAGTGTGTGAAAGCAGTACTACCATTTAGGCAGCTTCACCAACAATGTTCAGGGGAACAAACTAAGAGAAACCCAGATGCATTTCAGGTTAAAGAAAGTAAGTCAACTATTGGAGTGTACAAATATATCACACAATAAGACATCAACATTGAAACAGAATAAATATAGGATTAAAATGTGACATTGTCCTGGCTTAAAACAGATTCAAATATTCATTCAATGGTGCCCTTGATCAGCCATCTCTCACCTTAAATCACTCATAGCAATGTTTCCAGGATAAAATGAATAGAAATGAGCATGCTCAGTTCTCAATGGAAGAAAGATTGAATAAAAATGCAGTCGATTAAAAAAAATCCATCCAGCAATAAGCACCAAATGCTATTTGTTATCCAATTAAGTCAGCCTATCTCTATGAAGCAAATAGTTGCCTCAAATCATGGGGAAATGAGCACAGGAGGGAAACAATATGCATGGAAGGTTAACTGCTAAATATGTTGATGCAGAGTGGCTAGGTGGATAGGAGAGAAAGCTAAACTGGAAAACTTACCTTTTTTTCCATCTTGACTTTGTTCAGAAGGCTTGGCTGCATAGCGTTGAGTTCTAAGCATGCTACTCTTTGTTGGCTCTACAAAAGACATTAACACATATGCATAAATAAGGAAAGGAGTCTCACAATGACCAATAATTAATATTTTTAGGCAATATTTTTTTCCCAGTCAAATGTTTTTCTATCACTTATTCTGTACTTTTCAATTATTTTAGTTATTGGTAAATATTAACATTCAGTAAAGAACCCAGTTAATGAGAAAATGACTCTGGAATCGGAATAGCTCTCAGTTCCTCAACAGTTCCTCAATTTGTACTTTAAATTTCAAGTTAAGAGATAATTCTTCTTCTTTTATAACCAAGGACAATAGATCTTAAGACACAAGTCCTAAAATGCTTCTAAATAGATGGCTTTTGCCATTATCTCCCACAGAACACTACAATATGTGACTATTAATTTTTTCTTTCTTGAGAAGTTGTAGGGAGAGTTGTGTGCATGCACAAGAAATATATAAAGAAACATCAGAAAAAATGTTTACAAGTGGGACTCTTTCCATCTGCAAACACTTTCTCTTCTAGACTTCATACTACAAAGGAGGAAAGAGCTATCTAAAACTACTTGGCCACAAGCAGTAGCTCTGATATTATTAAATCACTTACACAATGGTCATTTTTCAGATCCCTGATTTGTCTGGTTAATATAGATTGCATGAGTCTGGGAATCTTAAGTACTGTTACAATGAGCATCCATGTGAAACATGTGATGTAGGACAAAATCTATGCTCAAAATCTCAAAAGATGAGATGTTTTAACTGAATAATCCCTGTAATTTCCTTTACCTGCATATAAAACTCTCTTCTTTGTGGTTGGACTCTCAGAGAATGCCATATCGGTTTCTGATGAAGCTGATGCAGGTTCTTCAAAGGCAGAATAGGGCCTAGCTCGAGGTGAGGGGTTCAGTCCCTCAACTTGTATGGATACTGGGATTGTAGCAAAAGTCTGTCTGGGTTGTCTGTTTAAGAAACAGACAAGTCACTGCCTAGGCCACAGTGCACACATACATATATTTGGGTGAAAGTTCTCAGAAAAGTGAACTGCAATCAAACAGATCAAGATTTTGTTGAATACAACATTCCCATCCACCGTATTGTTTTTTTCATAGCATAGAATAGTGGGGTCTCTTCTGCTACTGCTATGTACCGTATTTTTCAGAGTATAAGATGAACCTTTTTCCCTCAAAAAAAAGGGTGAAAATCTGGGTTTGTCTTATAGACTGAATACAGCATGTTTGGCCTCCTGAAACCCCGCCCCCTTTGCAAAAATGGCTGTGCATAGCCTTTCAGAGGCTTCCAGAGTCCTCCTAGGGGTTGGGGAGAGCAAAAATCAGGCTGTTTTTTGCTCGTTTTTGCCCCCCAGCCCCTAGGAGCAGTCTACAAACCTCCTAAAGGCTATGCATGCCCTTTTTTTGACAAATGGGCTGTTTTGGGGAGGTCTGCAGAGTGAAAAAACTTTTCTTTTAATTTGCCTCTTCAAAATCTTGGTGCATCTTATACTCTGGTGCATTTTATAATCCAAAAAATATGGTATATAAAAGGATTTAGAGTTGGAATAACCCAAAATTCTTCCTGTTTGGACTGTCTGTGCTATTTATTCCCAATAATGCCTTCAGTGCTCTGGAAAGTTCTATGCCTTCTGAAATAAACAGAAATAGAAATATTGCTAATATTGATTGCTGGAATTAAGTCTTCTCTGCCTTTAGTACTTCTTGCCTGTTGTTCATGTCTCCCTCACCCAGTTTTGTCTCCCTTTTGTCCCATTTGGCCAATTAACAATTTTGATATTTGTTGATGTTTAAAAAATAAGCTTCAACCTATATTTTTGCTAGCTGAACTTATATGTGTGTTCTGATTGGGTTATAGGATTAATGGGGAGTGTGCTTGATGTAAATGGAAATCTGGAAACTGTCCAAAGTCATTTTCCAACCAAAGGCTATGGACCATATCTAAATATTGAGCACTGAGATGAGTCCAGTTATTTAAAAATAATTATCCCAATTTAGGCCATTGGTCAAATATATGGCTGAACCAGCTTTTAGAGCCCACAAATTATGGATATTAAAACTTAGAATGTCCTAATTGAGGCACATTTTTTATCTCTTATAAAGCGAGTAACCTTTTTTAAATTATTACACTGGAACCAGAACATTTCATACAGATGGGAAGGAGTACAACATCTGGAACACAAAGATGGAGGCACTTATGATTGAAAAATAAGACCTCTTTGACATTTTAGAGATGCTATGTTCAGAAAAAGTCCAAACCAGGGTAACTTACTTAGAGGATAGACAACATAGTATTTAAATTTAAAATAATCCTGAAGTTGAGCATGACATATGGTAGAGTCAACATTGTACTTTAGGAAAGGAAATCTAAGTTACAATAGATTTGGGCACTCTATGAAATGAACAATAATACTTTAACATTTTAAAAAATTATAACTCTTGAACTATCAGGGATTAGATGTTTAGTGGCTATTACCCTGTTTCCCTGAAAATAAGACCTCCCAGATAAAAAGCCAAATCGGGCTGTTGAGCACATGCACTAAAATAAGCCCTCCCTGAAAATATTGCAACACAGCAGGAGCCATGAGGTGACTACGCTCGCCTCCTCCTGCACCTCAAAAATAATAAGACCTCCCCAAAACTAAGGCCAAATGTTTATTTCAGGGAAAGAAAATAAGACCCTGTCTTATTTTGGGGAAACATAGTAGTATCATTCCATTTAAAAGAAATTGAAGTGAAACTGCATGAACTTTTCTGATGATATAATCAACAAATTGTTGAAATAAGATTGTTATCAGAAAATTGTAAATATATTATTGATACATTTTGTATGTTGATACATTGTAGATTAATCCAAATTCATGGTAAAGTTTCTTTTTAGAATGTTTGGCAATCAGAGCTATACCAGCATGCCTGTCATAGTTGAAGGCATTTCTCAAAACAAAATAAAAAAGGAAATGTTACTCATACATTATTGTAATGGTAATGAATATATTAAAGTGATAGAGACTTTAAAGAACTAAAATTCACATAATGGAAAGAAATAGCAAGATCAAATATCCTAAAAGAAAAATTGAACCTGCATAGGGACTGTAAAAAAAAAGCTATAGACAAAGAATGTATGTTAGCAAATACTTGCTTATTTGAAATTGATCATGATTATAGTTTAAAAAGAAAAACTGATTTCTGCCTGTGAATAATGCATGTTCAATATACCTGCAACACATGTATATTTAAAAGCCTTGATTAATGTCACCAAGAAAAAGTTAATTTAGCTAATGGAATTTTGGTGAACGTGAAAAAGGTAGTAATGCCTAATAAATTATAATGACTGTTAGGTAAGCTCCCCGTTAGGAGAACGAGTGCATGCAGAGAAGCGTAGTGAGAGTGGTGTGGAAGAACGCATAAACCAGCATACGGAGACACTTAATTGTAAAAACAGATAGTGTTTTACTTCTGTGGAAATAGATGTATGCAGAGTCCAAGTCATACGCGGTTAAGACAGTCAGTCATCAACGTTCTCAGTTAAGGGGTGATCCAACAAACACAGTCCACTATCATATAATCAGTTCAGCACACAAAGTCACTAACAGTAGCAAAACTCTCAGTAATTCACGCCACATCTACAACCAGTATCCAACGCTCGGCATCTAACAGAGAGAGCTAATAGTCATTCTGGCTCCATCTTATGGCCACTTGAGGAAACAGCAACCAATCACATTTACAGCAGTACTTAAAGGTACAGCACTATCATCATGGTTTATATATTGCTAACCCAACTGTTAGCTTACATTCCTAACAATGACAAAAGGTGTATAATATTCCAGAAAGCACATACATGCCTGAATTGGATGCAGATTACATAAGGCTTATGCTATGCAGTGTAAATGTGAGATTGTCCTTAAAAATGCACATGATGTAAAGAAAATACAGTGGGAAATTTATGCAGCCTAGAGCAATCAGAGGAGTAGCAGGATGTATGCCTAATATTCCTGACCACAATATGGTTGCAGAAACAAAAAATCAAAGACAGCTAACCACGATAAGACACCTTTTGCTTGGTTACCCAATGATTTCTGCAGAGAAGCACTTAACACAGTTACTTATCTGCATCCAAAAAGTGCAGGTAAAACCCGTATGAGTTATAGAGGGGGGACAAACCAAACATGTCACATCTAAAGATATTTGGATGTCAACCTTATGCATATATCCCTAGAGTGCGGGGGGGGAGGAGTAAATTATAAAAGCCAATTAGAAATAATGCTGGGATATCAAAGGCTACAGGATTTTAGACTTTTAAAACTGGAAAAGTAAATCCAGGCAGCATTACTTATTTTAATGAAGGATAATCTCAGATAAACTACAATATCTATATGTAATAGCTACACAGACACACCAACCTGATTTTACTAGTAACATCTGAGTCTACCCAGAAAGTACACAAGAGAAAACAGCTAATGATAACATGGCACACTCAGAAGCGGTTACTGAAAGTAAGTCAGAAGAATCTGAAATAGTATCGGATTCAGAAGGGGCTACTGACAAACAGTCTGAAACAGACTCAGCATTCGAATTATGGAGTTCTCACGGATTTAATAAAGGAATTGAGAGAATGTGTTGCATGGATAGAGCAAGGGATGTGGTGAAGCCAATGGGGAAATATACAGAAACTATCAACAGTTTAAATCATTTTTCCCATAAAAAATGGGAATCTTGCACAAAAATGCAAGAAACATGGATTCTTACAAAAAAAAGGAAGGGAAACATAGGCTGGAAGGGGAAGCGGTGCCAAAATCAGCTATGCCACTAATAAAAATGTTTAATGCTGTAGTACCAGGTTACTAACAAAGGTCTAAACTTATAAATATGGAAAAATTACAATGAGGTTTTTGCATCAGTAGTTAAACTTGCAAGACTCAGAATTCTATTTAATCATATTTATAAAACTGCATGTGGAGCACTTAGGTATTAATACAGTTATTCTACATGGGTCAACAAAGTTTTGAAGATCCAGGGAAAGAAAAATTGGTACATGAACTGAAAACTCAATATATGGACTAAAGCAAGCAGCCACCAGACGACATATCCCATGCCTGGGCCTTGAACTGAAAAAAGCTGATCCACATTTATATACAAGAGGTAAAAATAGAAGGCACGTGTACATTCTCTGTTACGTTGAGAATCCAGCTGCATTTGCAGAGGAGGAAAAAGACAGTTTGGAGATAACAAACAATGTAAATAAAAAAGTGGTAATAAAACATCTTGGAAATATTACCCACTCTCCGAAAATTGAAATAAAAAAGATAAACAAGACAAATAATAGAGCAATGAACAATAAATACTAATCCCAAAGAAGTGTCTAGGTCACTGGGAGACCAATGAGTCAAATACATCCCTGATTGCTTGATATTTAGACAGAGAAGCAAACCAAAGCAAGTTACCAAATAATGAGCAGGGGGGAAACCACCATACATCACAAGTGTGAGTTGGCTGGGGAATTCAGAGAGTTGAAGCTCACACATCTTAAAGTTGCCAACTTGGAAAAACACTGAGAGCAAAACGGAGGGAAAGCCTATGTTTCTATCAGAGGAGCAGAAACAACTCCAAGGAGTGAAACTGACAAGCCCATAGAGGTACATTTACTCCACATCAGACTGTCCTACAATATTGGTAGTCCTCGACTTATAACCACAATAGAGCCCAATATTGCTAAGCGAGGCCGTTGTTAAGTTAGTTTGGCCCATTTTACGACCTTTCTTGCCACTGTTGTTAAGCGAATCACTGCAGTTCAAGTTAGTAACATGGTTGTTAAGTGAATCTGTCTTCCCTATCGACTTGGCTTGTCAGAAGGTTGCAAAAGGGGATCACAGCCGTCATCAATGAGTCAGTTGCCAAGCTTCTGAATTTTGACAACATGGGGATGGCTGCAACGATTGTAAGTGTGAAAAATGGACATAAGTCACTTTCTTCAGTGCCATTTTAACATTGGTCACGAAATGAACTGTTGTAAGTCAAGGACTAGCAGTAAAGATGCCCAGAGGTTTTACAGAGGAGTATTATATTTTCCAGTTCATTATCGTTTTGAACAATAAAAGCACTGATTTTTTCTAGTTGTTTCTTTCTTCTCCCAGAGTGCTTGATTTTATTGACATCAATGTTTTTTTTCCCTTCCTTACCCTTGTCTGTTCAAAATAGAAACCACTGTGGCAAAAATTGTCCTATGCATATTTTAGTCAAGTTAAATCATGAAATACATAGCTGAAGAATGAAGAAACAAAGAAAGGCAGAAGAAGCACATACTTATCTTGAATGTTTTTTGCTCCATTAAACAAATCCATCAAATGGCTACCAGGGTAAAAGGATTGTACTTTGCTCAGTTGTTTTTCTCCTCGTTCTATCTCTCTTCTAACCAAATATATATCCTCACACTGCCAAAAAGTAAGACGTTTGTTATGATTGTTGAGCAAAACAAAGACTAGGGAACTTCTTTAAAAAAAATAGCAAATAATTACAAGGCACCATCTATATATGGTACAGCTGCTTTATGTTTTAAGCGGGCTTTGAAGTAATATTTTATTGCTTCCCCTATTCTTTCTGAGCACTGATTTCCCAAGGAGAAATTTCTATAGTGTTTCTTAAAGTATGGTCCTTGGTCCTTGGGGGTCTCTGAGGAGTCCACAACATCAACATTATTTGCCAGACATTGAAGATATTTGAAAATTTTAAAATAATCTCCCTCATGTTTATTTGTTCAAAAATATGGGTTTTTGAATGCAAAATATTTTAGTTAATATCTAGTGGGTTTAATATTTGTTATGATTCAATAATTTTTTGATGAATGCATGGATTTTAATTTTTAATGCAGTAAATATTGATAAATATATCCCATAGAACTAAAAGTTCTTTTAGATTCCTCCATAATTTTTAAAGGTGAGAAAGGATCTAGAAAGCAAAAACCTTAACCTTGATCCCTGGTATTTCTTAGCCTTTTTCCTCTCTTTAACTATAAAAATGTAACCCCAACAGAAAAGAATTTACATAGCTCAGGGTTGAACTGTGGATTCCCTCTGAGCTTCATTGATTTCTTGCGAACATTTCATTACTTCAACAACTGACACCCGACTAGCGCTGATGATGTTACTTAGTCAGGTATTAAAATTTCTGCCAAAAAAACAGCCAAATTCCGGGAGCACAAAGAATATGTTTTAGCAAGAGGTTTTTATAATGTTATTTTCACAATCGCCCATGAGTTACCAATTCCTTTTGTAGGCACCATATCAGTGGTGAGTTATGACCAGTACGCCCCAGTATGGGCGTACCGGTGCCTGCCAGGAGCACCAGGTACCATTCTGGTACGGTGCTCCAGAGGACCCACCCTCCCGCCCATACTCCTTACCAGTATTTGAGCTCTTCGGTGCTTCTGTGCACACGCACAGAGTGTACGGCATCTGCGTGACACTCCGCCGAACAGTTGGAGCGTCGCGGAGACGTCACAGAGCGTCACAGAAGATAAGGACACATGTTCACATGTGCGCACATGTGTGCAGATGTGCCACATGTTCGTGTGGTGGACATCGGGCCCCGATGCACCTTACCAGTTGCACCGGGATCCGGAACCCACCACTGCACCATATAGCCCAAAACTATGCAAATGAAAGTCTGGCTTGCTATAATGGATCGGTCCCTAAAATAAATAACTATTTTAATTATCACCATATTACTTTGGTTTTGATATCAACACTTTCCATGTGTTAATTAAGCAACCCCCTTGGCTTTCATCAATCCCCAAAACATCAAACTTCAGGGCAAACCAAAAATCTAGTGTAATTTTTTTCTTACTATTTTGCCATGCATAGAGCAGCAATTTCCTCAAGTGCCCCTTAGATTATATTCAGTGGAGAAAATAAAATGATTTGATCCAGAAATTAAAATGATATCAAAAAGAAAATGTACAAGTCACTTAAATGTTGCTTCATTGAACTGATCTAGTGTTGAATCAGTTAATAAATCTTGATTCTTAATATCGGTTTGTGGCAATATTTTTGCTTGTTTTTTTAAACTACCCAATAGCCAAAATACTTGCTCTTTTGCTCCCCCACCTTTTCTTTTCTCTTTATACCTAAACTTTTCTGTATTTTACTTATACTTTTGAGTGTCTTTCTCAAAGATTAGTTTTCAATTGTTTAAGAAATTCGTATTAAATTCATATGACATTTATCTTCATTAAAGCTATTATTCTGGTCATCCAACTATGGTGAAGAATAGTGGAGTTATAGTTTACAGTAACTCTGGGATACAGCTAAAGTACCTATTATTATTTTTTATGCAGTCTCCTGCAGGTTGAGTGCAACCTCTAGTCATTTCAGAACTATCCATGTAGTTTACTTGGAAAAAAATTGATATTTCTTGCTATTTTCTTCTGGGAGGTTTTCCTATTTCTCAATCTAATGTACAAACCCCATATTCCATAGATAACCATGAGCACTGAGCTTCCGTGTAGGTTTCTCATCCAGGTCCTAAGCAAGTCCAATCCTGCTTCAGCTTTTCCTTAATAGACCCAATCAGGATGGTAGGTACATGAAGGATATCTTGCTCAAAATCAGGTGCCAATAATGATATTATCCTATTACAGTTCTATCCTTTAATTTGGACTTGGACCATTTTTAAAGACTTACCTCAAAAGGTTTGGGGGAATCAGGATCTGTCAGAATAATATGGTAGTAATGAAATCGTCCACCTGTGCTGCTGGCCAGTTCATGCAAAAATTGATTAGCTCCAGTATCATCACAGTTAAATGATATAGTGTGAATTGGAATATTCCGCCAAAGTTTGAGTTCATCTAAAATTTTATTGGGGTGCTGTGCAAAAAGAAAGGAAGGAAAAATGTGTAAATTTAAAGATATCCAAATCAGAGGTGGGTTGCTAATTTTTTTACTACTGGTTCGGGCATGCTCACATGCTCGTGCAATGCTGTGTATGCGCAGAAGCGTCCGGGTGGGTGGGTGCATGGAACCTCCTGCCACCGCTATTATTGGTTCGCCTGATCCAGACCAAAAGGCAGCAACCCACCTCTGATCCAAATAGAAAACACTTAAATGATCACTTAGCCTTTAACAATAAATCAAGTAGTGTAGAAGCCTTTAATCATTATTACCATAGCAATCAATGGCTGGGATTTCTTAAATCAGAAGCCAAATTCCACTGAATGAGCTTTACAATCTAACTTAAAAGCTCTGGTCCAAAAGGCTCCAATTTCTATGTTGCAGTATTTCTGGACAATAATTTATTGGTTGGCCAGTTTAGTGCAGAGGTTTCAAACTCGATTTCATTGAGAGCCACATCAGGGGTGTGTTTGACCTCGGGGAGCCAGATGTGTAGCCCTCCTGAACTCTGTTTTCGACTGCCACAGCAGCCTCTAGCATGCTGCCATCCTCCACCAGATTGTAGATCAGCACCTGGGCTGGCCTGGGGCATTATGGGCCAGTCCTTCACTGTTTTCAGGGTGGCCTCCCAAGCCAGATCTAAGCACCCTGCAGGCCAGTTCCAGTCCGCGGGCCTTGAGCTTGACACCCCTGGTCTACTGCATAAGGCACCAACCAGAAATTAGGAGACCTGCTAGTCCTACTTTAGGCATGATAGCCAGCTGGGTGAGCTTGGGTCATTCTATCTCACACAGCGTAACCCATTTCATATGGCTGTTGTTGTGGGAAAGATAGGAGGAAGGAATACTATGTGTGTTCTCTTCCCTGAGTTATTTTTAGAAAGAATAAAGATGGGGTATAAATAAATAAACTGAGGGGCTTCAGATTTACCTGACTTCACTTGGTCTACATTGACAAAACCAATCTAAGCACTGCAATGTTCACTACAGGCTTCCCTTATCTACTGTTATTTCTTCCCACAAGAGCACATTAACCTCTGTCTCCAGTGGCATTTTGGAGAGAGTTTATGCTCTCTACTACACTCTGAAACCTTTCACCCTTATGCCAAAAATAGGAGCTACTTGCATGAAATGTAGGAAAATACCAGTATTTGCAAACACACACCTCCAGCCGCCATTAAAAAAAATCAAACTTTAGGTCAACTATTTTTTGCATTCCTGTAACTATACGCATAAAATCCATATTTACACTATATCAGATTCTATGATACTACATTTAATATGTTGTTCTTCTATCTCCTATAGAACCCTCTTATTTCCCCCAAAGTAGTCAATATTTTAAGCCTTTTTTTTAAACAGAGGGTTAAACAATGTCAAATTTGCTTTTTGTTGTTTGCTATTTGCACGTAGACATGGCTAGAAACCTGTTTCCTCTTGATGATTTGGAAAGTACCTCAACCTAACAGATTTGACCACAAAAATCCAGATGACCACAAATCTAGATGGCAACAAATAGATGTACAAATCTTTACTGCCATCCAGTGGTTGTCCATACTTCTGAAGCTAGAACTCAGTCAAAAATTCTGTTGAGATTCGCTATTCAATAGTAGCTATGCTCAATGTGAAAGTTCTTGACCACAGGTTGTCAGATTTACTGATACATTCCTTGTTTCTATGGAATATGTAACTAAAAAGAATCAAATCAAAAAATGTATTTAAAGAGTCTCTTCCATCTTGTCCCTCAGTTTTATATCAAAACAAGTCCAATGAGCTGGCCCTTTGAAGGAGGAGTATGATTTGGGGAGAAGATTAGATTAGAGGTCCACAACTTATTTACTGGCTGAATCTTTTCTAATCTTGATTTACAATAGCATTACTCTGCAGGATAGTGAGGAAACCCAAACTGCACAGAATAAGCAATACCAAAAGTTCCAACATCATTGTTCATGTGAAGCTCAGATTCTGTTAGTGTATGTTTCTTATGCACACCACTGACTGCTCATGGTACATGCAAAAAATAACCAACACCATGGCATAGCAACAGGGCATCAGGTTTACCAGACGTTAAAAGAGAAACAACACTAAATGTACAGCTGCCCTTTCTGAATCACTTCTCTATTCTATGCTTAAACTGAACATTTCCATTTTTGCCATCATCATGTTTCTGTCTCTTACACCCCATTAAAATCATCTCTATTCAGTACAGCTAAACACTCCTTTCACAGGGTTACACTGGCTATGTTTCCACTGCAGCTTTATCCTCCATGAATATTGCCACTTCTTTTCCCTTTTCAGTCTTTCATACCCAAAAACCAGGGGTGAAATTCAGCAGGTTCTGTCAGGTTCTGTAGAACTGGTAGTGGAAATTTTAAGTAGTTCAGAGAACCGGCAAATGCCACCTCTAACTGGCCCCAGAGTGGGGTGGGAATGGAGATTTTGCAATATCCTTTCCCCAGGAGTGGAGGGGGGGAATGGAGATTTTGCAATATCCTTCCCCTGCCACACTCACCAAGCCACACCCACAGAACCGATAGTAAAAAAAAAATGAATTTAACCACTGCGAAAGACTCCAATTTAGTTAGTAGCCTCCAAAACTCTTGTTTTCCCCGCCCAAACCTAATCCCATTTTTTCCCTAATCCCATTTTGGAATGTCCTACTTTAGACACAGAAATGCTTCTTTGCTGTCCTCTGTCACCATATCCTCCTCCCAATCTCTCATGTTTCCAATGTGTCGATGGAATAAAGATCAGGAGGAGACACAGGCATGTATGCCTTCCTTCATCTGTCACCTTGTAGTCAGTTTGACCATCCTTGGTCTACATCAATGTGATGCTTTGTCATCTGGCCAGTGTTACATCATCATATTGTCCTGACATGATTTTCTTCTTCATAGATACCTGATCAGGTCTCCCATCAGTAAGAAGATAAATGGCTTGAGTGTCACGATCAGCAAAGGCAATCTGAAGTGCTTTCAGTACATTTGTAGTAGTCCCAACCTAGGCAGTCAGTGGAGGAACAGAGAAAAATTAAGATGCTAATGTGGGCAGATTTATGGGATGGGTTATAAAATTTATTTCTCAGGTATGCCGGCAAGGCATAGTTTAAACACTTTACATGATCTAATTCACATTGCAGATAATATATGTGGTATTCTGTATTTAAAATCCCATTATTCTTTTAAACACTGATATGCTCAATAGCTGAAAGTAATTAAAAACTACAAAAATATATTTCTGTAGTTTGCTGAAAGAGAACTGTTTAAATGTAAACCAGCTAGCTATTTGGATTAAATGAGGGAGTACATTATCCTGAAGATAGCTTCAGAAATGACTTTTGCCAGAGAAGATTAACTTCTTTATGTATTAATATTTAAATTTATATGCCACCCATCTCACAATCAAGAGACTCTGGGTGGCTTACCGAGTTCTCCCTCTTCCTTTAGATAAGTTGTAGGGAATTTGAATTACATGTACAGTAGATACTAGCCACTTGATCCAATTAATAATTCTTCCTGGGCCTTGTCCTTGTCCTGCTTTAGATTACCAGGCATATCTACACCAGTGAGCATGCCATATGGAGAATTCTGGGAACTGAAGTCCATACATCTTAAAATTGTTAGGCTGAGAAACCCTGGCCATTTGTTTCCTGTTGCAAAGAATTGAACACTCCCAATAATTCTCAATATTCCTTCCTGGAGCAGGAATGTCTTTCTGAACCAATCTTTTTGCTCATTAGAAATGTTACTATAGAAAATAAAGTTGAGTTATTTTAAATCAAATCTGTATTCTAGTAAGCATGGTTACAACATTAATAGAAATTAACATAATAGAAGTATATTTATAAAAACACCAATTACCATATTAATGGGAGAGATAACCTAAATTATAATTATCTACTTGGAAGGATTTCCTTCATATGAAGTTTGACTTTAACCCAAATATATTGACCCAGAGCATGGAAGAAGGGAAGGAGAAGCCCAACAATAGTTTAGCTCACTTCCATTTGCTTAAAGTTTTCTCTATAGTTACCTGAAGTTGTTTTATCCAAAGTATAGCATCTTCTATATTTTCTTCATTAACTTCGGCAAGTCTGTCTTTCCAGGCTATTGCTTCAGCATCAAATTTAACAAAATTAAACCTGGTTTTGTTTTGAAACTGTTCCTGTAAGAAATCATCTGTTGAATGATTTCTCTGAAAGAGAAAAATCATATTCCCTTTGCCCACCCACCATTCCTCCTTGTCATCATATTGAGAAGCAGTCAGTTATGGGGATAATTTTTTTCATTTGCCTAGCAAATATGTATTAAATATTTTGGAATTTGTAATTCTGCTATCTCTTTAAAATATTGTCTACCTATAATCTAATTTTCTCTACAAGGTACTCACAAAATATTTGGCAGCTCAGCATTGCCAGAATTCCCACCCAGCATAGTGAATGTACTTACTTACTTACTTTACTTACTTACTTACTACTTATTTACAGTACTTACTTACTTATTTAGCCACCCATCTTGTATCCAACAATTCTGGGTGGCTTGCAACATTAAAACACTGAAAACATTAAAATCATCCATTATAATAACAGTGTCAACATACCAAATGATGACATGATCACTAGAGAACAATGATATGGGGAATGTCCTAATTTATTGTCCACCATTCTATCTGAGAAAATAGACTTAGAAAATCTCTTCCACTTGGCGGGAACTAGTAGAACATTAACGTGGAAGAATAAAGTTCTAGTCCTGTTCTAACAACTCCAGGGAAGATTGGAAAAGATTCCACTCAGAACTAATTCCAGGCAGCACATTTTCAGTTAAAGAGACCAACAATACAGGTAGCCCTCAACTTATCACCAAAGTCGAGCCAACATTTTTAATGCTAAATGAGACAGTTGTTAAATGAATTTTATCCCATTTTATGACCTTTCTTGCCAGGAATGGATCAGTCAGTTAAGTGAATCTGGCTTCCCTATTTATCCCTCACAAAATGGATCACGACCCATGGACATGGCAACTGTCATAAATATGAACCAGTTGTCAAGCATACAAATTTTGATCATATGACCATGGGGATCTGCTATGGTTGTTAAATGTGAACGATTGTAAGTCACTTTTTTCAGTGTCGTTGTAACTTTGAATGGTCACTAAACGAACTGTTGTAAGTTTAGGGCAATCTGTAAAAGGCAACTTCCTAGATCCCTTTCAGAAAAAGCCAGTCATTCTACATTAGGCACTTCTCTTCACCAAAACAGCCGTTCACTCACTCTTATCAGCTGATATATTTTCTCCTTCACCACAGGCAGTTTGTATATCATAGACTGAGATACATCAATGAGGATACAGATGTGGTCTTGTGTGATATCTCCAAAAAGGGCTCGGCTTCCTTTCTTAAGGTCCTGAATTCTACACAAGAATACTTTTTTACATGAAATGAAAGGCACAGCAAGAATGATTCTGAAATGCTCACGTACATAATTTTTATTTTTATTGTTAATGTAATATAAAGGACAAAAGAATGCCAAGTAAATCACTTTAAGGAAGACAAAATAAATATTGCTAAGTAAAATACATTTTAAATTGGCAGATAAACAAAGATTATTGGATAATTTACAAGAAGGAATATAATTTCAAGGCTATATAGCATTTATGTGTTAGTGAGTTAAAGCAGCTGTCAATCACTGAATTGGGATTACAATTCCCACTATTCTCAACAAACAAGATTTAAAGCATCGGATGAGAATTAGGTTTCAATCAGATTGTAGGCTTCATATTACCATGTAACTGTGCCATCCCTTAACCTAATCTATTTTATGGGGTTATTGCAAGGGTAAATTTCAATTGGACTTCTCTTTCCATTGGCTTTGAACAAATATAAACAACACAAATAAATGCAGATCAAAACTCACACTGGCAGTTTTAACGAGGCACTATTCAGTGTTTCATTATTATTACTATATTAAAATACATCCCATAAATATTGAATAAATATTCAATATTAAAGAAATAACACTTGGTTTTAGAAGCTCCCTACTAACTCTAATGAATGATTTACTTCAAATGGTATTCAAAATCTCATAGATTAAAAAAATAAAGTAGGACTCGAATAGTCATTATTTCAACATGATATAAATGTCTTAAAAGAGATTTATGACTACATTGGGATCAGTGCTTCTAGAAACTTAGCCATTATTTAATTTAGTAAAATATATGTAGAATATGCAGCATTACAGAATAAAAGTGATGTTTTTACAGCTGAATTTCTTTAAAAATAAGATATTAAGTTTGAAGGTCATGGAATGTAATTATGCTACTCAAAGGAATATTCATAAATATTCATAAATATCTACCCACATTTGATGTTGCAGTTAGGAATCCTTAGTGTTGCCCATGCTCAATTTTTAAATAAACAGAGTACCTAACATTAAATATTAGAGTACTTGGGCACTTCAAAATCTTTTTAATAGGATACATCAGTCCTTTTTTCATCATAAGATCTGTCTTTAGAAAAGTTAATATCAGGATGCAAACTTACCTTTCTTCCATTTGATGAAGAGAATTCTTCACCTTATTTTCAAACTCCTTGCATCTTTCTTTATTCAAATGTAAATGAATTATAGACCCATCTTCCAAGACTGTATGTATAAAATTGTTGCAGTATTTGGCATGGATTACCTTTTTATTTGTCTCCTAAAAGAACAAAGATTTCCTCTGTGAGTATGATTTCTTTAGTTTCCCTAAATCTGCTCAAGCTTTAAAATCAGTAGGTCTAAATGGGTTTGAAATGAATTCAGTTAAGTGATGTGCAACAGGACAAGAGAATCAGAGGCCTGGTAAACTTTTGATCAGCCTTGACTCAGGCAATGCAATTTAAATACACTGAAGTTTAATCCTCTCCAGAGACTGGGATGTTGTGAATTATAATCTAGCATACTGGAGACAAGCCCACATCGATCAACAAATGTGAAATATAGTTCTCTTTACTGTGCAAAGGAGATGGAGGGAAAGGAAAAAGCAAATTCTGTAGGCAATCTCTCATTTGCCTTTTCTGCAATTGAATTGCTTTCAATGTATAGAAGACCAAACAAACGTACTCTCTTGAAATTCATCTCCATTCTCTGGTCAGGTGGAGGGGAAGGTTAGGCAAAGGAGAGATTGCCTATAGAAATTATTAGTTTTTTAACCCCTTCTCCATAGAGAGAAAGGGATTTCAAGAGAGCAAGATGTTTTGCATAGTGTACCCATAGCTCTCAGCCCCAGGCTGTGACACAATCACACTGGTCTCCATGTATTCAAGATAATAAGTCAACATCCAAGCATTCCAAAGGGTGTGGAGTGGTTAGGAGGCAAATAAAAGCCAAAGGTAAGAAACTGAGTAGTCTTGTCTCTTTCCAGTCAGAAAGCACAGCCATATGATTTCCCATTTAGTCACCACTTTTCTTAGTGGCAGAGTTGCTGGTCCCCATTAGGGTTACTCAGTGAGGCTATCTGTATGCACAGGCATGCAGGAAGCAAATAAACATTTTCTCCTAGTGCATTTCAATAACATATTGGGGGATTCATATCAACTGATTAATGTATACAAGCAGTCCTTATTTGATATCCACAATTGGGACTAGTGAAACCATGACTATACTTAATGATCTTACTTCAACTTTCCTTTGCTTTACAGACCTGTAAATGTGAGGATTGGTCACAAAGTTACTTTTCATCTCAGTTGTAACTGAACAGTCACTAAATGAAGCAGTTGCTGCATGAGGACTATCTGTCTCAGTGCTTAACTTAGATTCCTTTACTTCAATGAAACATTAAATTTAGCTATTATGGTTAGATTGAACCCAATGCATTTCTTGACAACAGAAGTTATTCCAGATATGATGCTTGTGATGCTTTTTCTTTGAAAAATCCAGAATCAGTTTGGCTAAACATGTGAATAGTTTCTAGAGGATTAAGAAAACAGAAGCCGTACTCTTTACCTCATTCAGTCACAATTCCTAATCAGTTTTCATAACTGCAGGAAATATTGCTAGGCAAACAATGGGATCCTGTAAGTGATCAGAAGTGCAAATGAAGCTTTCTATTATACAACTAACAAAACCTGGAACTCTATTTGATCTCCTCATTAATCCCCTCCTCCCAAACTCCACAAAAAAGGTAGAAAATTATAATGCCACAATGGGAAGGTTTCTTACAGCATTTGTCTGAAGAGATTCATTTTCTGGCTTGGTTTTTATATCAACAATTCCATTTATATGACGAAAAGCAAAATCAGGAAAAGCTGTTGATATGGTCAGACTCTGGGCTTCCAAGCCATTCTTCTGAAGCCACTCTCTGGAATTCTCAAAATCTTTTACTTCTGGTTCATATTCCGTTTTATCCATTTCTCCTGCTGATATGAAAATATTAATAAATAAGTACGTGCCAATATCAGCTTGAAGATATTATATGACTTAATTTTAAATGGATATATTTGCATACACATATTTATTTATGGTACATGACTAATACATTCCGTGGCACGACAAAACTGTGCTCGACTAAAGCGCGCCCGATTAAACC